GCCTGTAGCATCTTCTGTTCGGAGGGTTGCCTTGTGGGATTGTGCTGCTGAGCGAAGTAGTCGTTCATGCTACTACGGCGATCATGGAGCGAACGGGACAGCAAACCTTTTGTGTAGGTCTCTGGCGCGAGTGGAAAAAACTGAGGAGCCTCCGCCTAGTCATCCCTCTTCCCCCTCCTCCCCCTCCTCCCTCCTCCTACCCCGCCTCCTCCCTCCTCCTCCTCCTCCACCCTCCTCCCACCTCTTCCTCATTCCTCCTTCTTCTCGCCTTTTCCTGCCCCTACCGCTGCCGCTCATACTCCACTGTGCCATCACCGACGTCGTCGCCGTTTATCTTGCCGGGGCGGCTGACCTATGTATTGGGAAACAGCTAACGCACGCCTGGCTTTTCCAACGCATGGGGCATTTTCTCTATGATTCAATATCAGAAAGGGGTGCTCCACACCGCGGTGTTAGTCAGGAGAAATTCTCCGCATCCATAACACGAAAAAACTGTCCACACTCACGTTGGCATAACACCAAAAGTTTTCCACATCCATGTTGGCATAACACCAAAAGTTTTCCACAATCATGTTGTAATAACACCAAAAGTTTTCCACAATCATGTTGGCATAAAGCCACAAGTTTTCCACAACTACGTTGGCATAGCACCCAAAGTTTTCCACAATGGGCGAAATCCTCCGCCGAATATTAGTTTAAAAAACATGGTGAGCACCCTCCCAAGATATATATATATATATATATAAATGATGTAATTGTTTTTGCTGAGGGTCGAGAGGGTGCTCCTCGAAGGGCATCGCCGAGGAAAGAATGCGCACGACCGCGCGATGCCACGCCATGGGCTGCGGCGTCCCGGTGCAGACAGGAGGAGGAGGAGGAGGAGGAGGAGGAGGAGGACGAGGAGGAGCGCCAACTCTTTGTGCTCATGGCGTTGTTCTTCTCCTAACGGAGGTCCAAGGCATTGCTTATGCGGTTCCCATCGTACTTAAGGACCCCGTCCCAAAAATTAGTTTCGAGCACCCTGAGAAGTGTCGAAACGGTGTCGAACGAGTATCGCCTCCCAGGGCACGACGCGCGAAAACCCTGCAGATTCGGCAGTTTCTTAATGCTCGAATTTACTTCTGGTGATCAGGGCTAAAGTAGGTTGGAACATCAGAAGGCATTGCACGGATGGCCTTGGACCTGGAACTGCAACAGTGGCACGGGTCGTCGTGGTTCGACGTCGTCGACGTCTTCGTCGTCGACGTTGTTGACGTCGCCATCGGACCCAAGGAAACTAAGGAACAAGCGAATTGAAGAACGTCTTAGCTTAGTCGAGAGACGGAAGTCCTGCCCTTTGATTCCTTCCCTGCCAGGGGCGTTCCCGGGGCGGGGTCCGAGAGGGGGCCCGAATCGCCGAACGATCGGTCCAATACACACAAGATAGCCTCCAGACAGCCCAAGAGACCTCCAAGACGCCCCAAGAGGCCTGCAAGAGCACTCCCACGAGGGCCCCACAAGACAATCTTCGATGATTTCGGTTTGGTGTTGAAAAATATTTTGGCGTCCTCATTGTGCCGGCTTCCCGAAGGACCCCGAGATTGAACCAAGATGGCCCAAGAGGCCCCGAAGACTGCCCCTCAAAAGCCCAAAGAAGCCCCAAAGAGGCTCCCGAGCGGCACGCAAGTGGCTCCCAAGAGGCTTCCAAACTCCTCCCAGTGGCCCCCGAGAGTGCTTCGAAGAGACCCCACGAAGCAACCTTGAGGACTCTAACCCACGTTAGCGTCGTCGTCGCCGCCGCCGCCGTCGTCGTCGTCGTCCCCCGTTAGGGTAGGCGGCACTGGCCGTAAGGCTTCACAATATTGGTATGCAAGCATCACCCCCCGTCAATCGGTGAGATCGCAGAAGGGCGATGCCGCGTGCAGAACAAATCGCTAGGTTCAACGACACGAAACACCAACGAAACTAGATGCCTTCGCATGGCCGGGTCAAGGCCGGCCCCCTGTATCCTGGAAACGGTGGCGTCCGACCGGAAAGGATCACATAATCCTCTGGGCACAGCGGCCTTCATATGCAGGAGCTCCGGGAACCTAGTAGGCATGTGGAAGTTCCCCAAGGTCGCCAGAAGCCCCCAGCTCAGAGGCCTCTGGAGGTCGCCGCGGAGGCCTGCAGAGGCGTCTAAAGCCCAGCCCAAAAAATGTAAACTTTCAGAATCACGGCCCCTCGATCCTCGACCCTGTGCCCTCTACAGCCTTGGGGGAATATTCTCCCAACGCTGGTCCACGGGCCAACGCCGGTCTGCAGCCGGCCGGTTTGTTCGCGAGGGCTAAGCGGTATGGGCTTGCACCACGTAGCTTGCACTATATGCATGCCGGGGCCGGCACCGTTCTCCTCCCGAATGACAGCAGTGGATCCAGTTGGATCTCATTACGTGTGCGGGAGAGTCACGCGGGTCCAATTTCTCCGCTACCTGAATCCAATTTTTGCGCGGAAGGCTCGTGGATCGAATTCTTCAGAAAACGTGACTACACAACATGAGGTAATCACATGAGACACCAAGAATCGGATCCACACAGCCTTGGATATGCAGATGGATGCTATGACTCTACGTGGGATGGATCCCCTGTTGCCCAAAAATCGAAAAGCCCCTATCGAAGGTTCATCCACTCTCCGTGATCAAGTTCGGCTTAATGAGTGGACGACCCAAGGTGGTCCCGCCGCAAGGGTCCTTGCACTAGGTCACTAGAAGTGTACGGGGGGGCGCAATGGCATGTAGGTGACTGGGGCGCAAAATCGTGCATGCGGTGGGGGCGCAACAGCATGCAGATTTCTTCCGACTGTTCTGCGGGCTTCGGTGCCGCGTTAGGGGAAGCATTCGGGAAACATATCCCAACGGCTGCAGGATTCGGGAGCTCGATGAACAAACAGTGTGAACAACTCTGGATCTCTGAGAAGCTCCCCATGGGCAGCTGCCCGCTCCAGAGGACTTGTGACACACGACACCTCCGTGAATTACTTACCAGAGTGGCAATGATGGGCCGAACTCGTTCACAACGACTCGTTCATCACTGCGCCGAGCCTGTGTCAGTTCCCGGAGGACCCTAAACTCTCAAGGGGAGGGAGGGGGCAGAGGGCATGGGCCGACCCTGATCGTCGGACCCTCCTCTTCCGGGGGCCGGAAGGGGGCTTTTTCCCCTCTCCCCGGGGCGGCAAGCCTGGGGAAAGGGGATCCCAGTGCGCCTCGCGATAGAAGGGGTGCGCACTGCGTCGGGAGGACTTCGTGGCCTCAGCCATGAGACACACACACACACTCACACACACACACACACACCGTGAACCTCCCCGCCTCTTGGACGCCCCCGACCTCCCCAGACAGCCGACGTCGCGTTTCCTTCGCAAGGCTCCCCAGAGGTATGGACCCCTTCCTTGAGCGTGCTTTTTGTCCCGGGCCACTTTTGGCGGTTCCCGGGGCTCGGTGAGCAGTGAGGTCTCCTGCTGGAAAATGAAAACAGCCAGCCATGACAGACGCGAGGATGTCAGGTCCTTGCCAGGTCTTCCTCTCCCCCCCTTCCCTGGCAGCGCGAAAGCGGCCAGGAGCGATCATTCCAGGTTTGTTATCCTCTTGGTCTGGGTAAAGGGTTGAGGCCCGCAGGCCATCGGAAGCTCAAGCCTGAAGAAGATTGCGCAGGGACGATATCGCAGGCAAATGCGAGCGCATGTTGCCCGACACATCACAGACTTGCGCGTCAGGATTTGCGAGGACCCACACCCTTGGGGCGCCAGCTTCGGGATGCTCAGCACCACCATGGCAAGGGGAAGCATCGACCCTGACTCGGCGATACATCGCCGATAGATCGGCGATAGGCCCCCGACAGCGAACCCGAACGCTCTTTGGCTTGTGGGCTATCAGGCCCCGTCGCTCAGCGCCACCATGGCAAGGGGAAGCATCGACCCTGACTCGGCGATGCATCGCCGATAATTCGGCGATGGGCCCCCGACAGCGGACCCGGACGCTCTTGGTCTTGTGGGCTATCAGGCCCCGCCGGCGATGAATGAGCGAGTGCGGGTCGATGCGTCCCCCGCTGAGTCTACCGCCCCCCTAATGGAAGACGAAAACTTAGCTGATATACGAGTGTAGGGGGGAGCGATTCACACCATGATTCCAAAACTGCGGCTTCCGCTCGGCTTCGGCTCCGTCTGGCGCATCGGTTGTCCAGGCGCGCACCCGAAGAAGGCGGAAGGAACGATCGAACGTAGTTTCCCGGCCAGGGGACCGATTTTCAAATCATCATCCTGGGCGGCGCCGCGTGAATGCGACGCCCGGCACCTTCTTAAACATCGTCCTGCGTGAACGTTGCCCCTTGGTTCTTCAATGCCATAACTCAAATCGCTGCACCAGCCGTTCGGGGCGATCTGGGCAAAGCCAGAAAGCTCCCGGCGAGAGGCAGCCGCTGGAGAACACCCCGAGGCGGGTAGACCGACGAGAGCCACCGAAAACACCGAAAACCTCTAGCCTCGAACCCTAACGTTCAGAGGCCTCCTAGATGGGTTCAGAATCGGAGTAGATCGGGTCGGAGGATCGCGCCGCATCGACAATGCATCGGCGATGCATCGGCGATGCATCGCCGACGTCGGCGGTGTACCGCCGACGCCGGCGTGGAGAACATCAGGCTCCGCATCGAGACGCACCGCCGCTGCACCGGCGACGCGGCGCGATCCTCCGACCCCATCATACTCAAACACCATCCAGGATTTGGACGCCCGAAACGGGTACGGAAAGAATGGGCACAATGCCCAACAGCAAATGCTGTCCCAAACCAACCGCGGCCGCTGCCGGGCAGGCGGACTTCTGTCTCGAATGGACACAGGCCGCGGCGGCGCGGACAGCGAGTCCTGTTCAAGATGAACAAGAACTGCTGTTGGGCATCGTACCCATTCTTTCCGTGCCCATCTCGGGCGCCCAGAATCCAGGAGGCCTCGAGCGCTGCCCCTGGCCCGGGCGCTGCCGTCCCCCGGGGCGCCAGCTTGGGGATGCTCAGCGCCACTATGGTGTCCGACGGCTGCGCCCACTGCACGGCCTCGGGACGCACTCGGCCGCTCCGCCGCCGGGGCCGTCGCGGCTGCCGGCGGCGCGGGCCACAGGAGGTGGCGACAAAAACGCAAGCCCTCCTCCCCCTCCTCCTCATCCTCCACCTCCTCCTCCTGCTCCTCTTGTTCCTTCTCCTCCTCCTCCTCTTGTTCCTTCTCCTCCTCCTCCTCCTCCTCCTCCTGCTCCTCCTCCTCCTGTTCCTCCTCCCCCTCACCCTCCTCCTCCTCCTCCTCCTCCTCCGCCTCCTCCTCCTCCTGCTCCTGCTCCTGCTCCTCTCCTCCTCCTCCTTCCTCCTCCTCCTCTCCTCCTCCTTCTCCCTCCTCCTCCTCCTCCTCCCTCCCCTCCCACTCCTCCTCCTCCTCCTCCTCCTCCTCCTCCTTTTCCTCCCCCCGCATGAGCTAAGTGGAATTCCCGCGACAATTGCTGGAAGACAGAGCCCAGAACAGGTGTCGCCGCACACCGACAGCGAACCGTTGGCACAGCGGCTGGATCAGATGCGCGTGCCTCCTGAGGACACGCATCAGCAACCGGAGCATCCCGCACGCCACTTTGGTGGCTCCGATGACTCATGACGGGGGCCCCTTGCGTCTTGACACGGCCTTATGGGGGGGTCGAGGGGGTCTCTCGTGTGGTCAAACTGCAGGAGCCCCTATCTGGTGAGGAGGCAGGGGAGAGGTGAAAGGGAATAAGCAGTGTGAGGACTTCAAAATCGCGCTCTCGCGCGGGACTCCCCAGAATGTATGCAGGAATCGCGCTCTCGCGTGGTACGTCCTCGCAATTTATTCAAACGCCACGCCCTCGACGCTGAGGAATCGCGCTCTCGATCTGGCTTCTCTCACGATTCACTTGGGAATCGCAATGTCGCTTTCAACCTCCTCGTGATCCATGCAAGGCACACGCTGTAGCAACCCGCCTGCTCGACCTGGCCGCCTGGGCCCGCCTTCCCGATCCGTCCGTCAGGGCCTACCTGCCCGATGAGCCCGTCGGGTTCTGCCACGTGTTCTCTGCTCATGGCCCCCCTCCTGCTATAACCTCTCCCCTGCTTCATCCTTCTCCAGCGGTCCTCTCTGCCCTTGTCTTGGGAGCTGCACCAATTACACGTGGCAGGTACAGGAGAGATACCCCCAAGGGGGTACGATCAAAAACGAAGAGGGCAGATATCGAGAATTGTGTTGAATAGCACGCGGGCAGGTAACAACTAACAGACTTAACATGATTGTGGTTGTTGCTGCTGTTGTTGTCGTCGTCCTCGCCCGTACACCCCCCGCGACCCACCCCGCGACCGGCCCGCGACCCGCCCGCGACCCGCCCCGCGACCCACCCCGCGACACACCACACGCGACCCACCCCTTGCCCGCCACCCCACTGCTATCCGCGGGCAAGTGCTTGCGGTGGCCCAGGGTGTATCGTCGCCAGGGTGGCGCTGGCCCCGGGGTGCTCGCGCTCGCTTCCGGGCGCCCCAATGCGCTGTGGCCCGGGGGTTGCGCCGGGAAGCCCGGGGCGCCCCAGGGAGGTGCTTGCGCTGGCCAGGGCGCCCTGGTGCGAGAGAAGAAAGCACGAGGGAAGCTCGACACCATTATCAGTTCACCCGTGCTGGCCAGGATGTCCGCCCCACGTTGTAGTAGCCAATGCGACGGGAGCAAGTGGTACGCCTTCATAGTTGCACATACATGTGCATTAACCTGGCACTGGACAGGAGGACTTTTGCACAATGCGAGCAGCCCGATGGATTGCCCTGGCCAAGGATGGCGGTGGTGTATGGCTGCCTTCTGCGGAAACGATGTCTGGGTCAATGATGTCCTGACTAAATATGGTGTCCGCGTTGCACTTCCTGGTCCACGCTGCGCGTCATGGTCCACGATGTCCACAAATGTGCTACATTGTGCTACTCACGTGAACTATTCACCGAACTGCCAAAGATGTGCTCAAACTCGGCATGGAGCGTCATAAACCATGCACCAAGCCGTCTGGTCGGTCAAATAGCTGTGTCTAGACCCCGGGTTTGCAACGTTGTGGGATACTGTAGTGGCTCTACACTGGAACAATTCGCCGAATGATTCGGCTCCGTGGAAGATCTAACGACGTCATGTAGACAGCGAGCCCGTCCGATCGGCCAGGGGAAGGGACCAGGCAAATGAGATGAGAGGGGGGAGGAGCATGTAGGGTAAGGGAAGTCTCATGTGTAAACCTTTATAAGCACAGAACGTATAATGAGTGTACATACTCATGGAATTCCAAGTCGCATCTAGGACCACAGTGAAGGACACATGGAACACTGTGCCTCCAGTATAACTGTTCCACGACCCGCAGCTCAAAGCCCGCCGAAGGCCGAGTCGCGGCGAAGCTGCCTTCTTCATCGCAGCCTTGCCCCCTGCCACGTCCTGCCAGCGCGCGTGCGGAGGTCCTCCGCCTCCCGGTGCTGCTGCTCCTCCCCCGGCTCCTGCTCTTCGTGCCCCTCTCCTCCGTTCGCCTTGCCGCCTCCCCTCCTCCCCTCCCTTTCCCCTCCTCCTACTCCGGCCCATACGCCGTCGGCGGTCAGGCAGGGCCTGCCATCGAACGTCTCCTCCGCGGTGACGACAAACATGCGCAGACCCTGCAAGCAAAACGAGCTCTCGCCCCCAGATCTCCAGGCCCCCCGGGGACAAGGGGGGGCCCATTGTAAACGCTTGGCGGCAGAAGACTCTCATTTTTTCATGGTGCTGAAGAAGGCACTACAAATAGCAACTGTCTCAAAACTACATAATTTCTATGTGATTTGAGTCACTGTCTATTCTGAGCCGTACCGGGCCGTATCAGCCTCCCCCCCAATTCCCTAAGTGTGTCTGATGTGCGTCCATAAACCCGACGTCGATCGTACTTCCTAGATGACACCATTCAGTGTTCCGCCCCACCCGGCCCCGAACATTTCAATTGTAAATGAAACTCTGCAAATGACTCGCCTTGCGCATATAGTTACGATGCTGCACGGAATCATACAATGCGAACCACATGCGCGTGCTCGCGAGTTCTAGTGACAAAGCCAGTCAAACTCACATGGACTCTAAGCGTGTGAAGGTCGAGCTTTTGGAACGCAAATGAACGCAAACAATGGTCTTCAAAAGGAGACATACGTTGCGCGCTGGCGAGTGCTCATCCAGGCAAACATCAGGATGCGCGCAGGAATTCATCAACATACGCTGCTCTGAAGGGGACTCAGCAAAACAAACTGATGATATCCTTAACGATTGGATTGGATATGCATGCTACGGATTCAAAAAGGCATATGCAACTGCTCGGACGCAGTCGGGTTCGAGAGAGTAACGCGTTATGACTAGGTTGGGCGGGTGGGCATGGCCACGCCGCGCCACTGCAGTGGGCTCTACTATACTTCTGTGGCAACTCATGGGGGCCTTCCACGCCATCATGCTGGCTCTTGCGAATCGACGCTAGTCGACGCCAGTCGACGCTAATCTGACGCTAGTCGACACTAGCCGACGCTAAATCGGCGCTATATCATCGACTCCTGGACGCTAATTCGACGCCAGTCGACGCCAGAGACAGAATCCGCCAGGCACGCCCGGATCCCATGATTTGCTGCCGAAGTATTCCGTGCTGCGCTATGCTCGTGGATGCCATGACGATGGACACCCTGACACTCCGATCATTGAATTAAGAATGGGATTAAAATAATGGATGATACATGTTCTAAACATGTTCAAAGCATGTGCCGAAATCTAGTCCCAAACACGAAAAAACAAGACACAGCCGAAGTCCAGCGAGACAGCGCTCAGGTCCAGCCCTGGACCGCGGCACACGACGAGCGGCACCGGAGGAGAGCCGCCGCAGCGGGCCACTAGCAGCGACACCACGGGCCAGGAGCCAAAGACCACGACCAGAGACCACGACCGGAGACCACGAGCAAACACCACCTCCAGGTGATCTTCATCCTCCTCCTCCTGGCGTTCCACCTCCTCCTCCGCCAGCGCATCGGAGCGAACCCGAGGACGGGCCCGCTCGAGATCCATCGTCGTCCACCAGGCATCTAGCCGCGGCACTCAAGGCGCGAACTCCCAGTACAAGTGGTCGAACAAGAAGACCAGGCACTTCCCACAACAGCCGGCATAAACATCCAAATATGAAATACACAGACAATTTCCAGACATCATCAATACTCAGAAACCAGTCCTGCGAGGCCGCTCGGGTACGCGACCCCCTGGGAACATGAAGGCCCCAACACCCCCTCAGCGGCCAAGTGTACTGACACCATCCGCCACCAGACGAAATCTGTCGCTCATCCGCTGCAGCGAAAGGAGTGTGGCCAGAAAAGAAAGTCGCCACGTCCGCGACCGCGCATGTAAATACACGGCCCGAACACCCCCTCAGCGGCCAAGTGTGCTGACACCGTCAGCCACTAGAAAACAACTTTCGCCCATCAGCTGAAACGAAGGGGGTGCGGCCAAAAAAGGGAAGCAGCTCAGGTGCTTGACCTCGTGCGAATACGACAAGGGGGCCAACGCCCCGTCAGCGGCCAAGCGGGCTGATACCACCAGCCCGCACACGCGTGCTCACGCACGTCCGCTGCAACGAACGGGGCGTAGCCATCGGAGAAACACCCGGTCAATCAGCTCGCTGAAGTGGCCTCGACGGGCTTCAGCACTGCCCTCGAAACTGGGTGCCGGCCATCGAGGAGACGCTCCAACTCCCTCCCGTTCTGCTTGCCGCAGACAGTGGTGGCACACGCCCGTTGGCCTACAACGCGTCGCTGCAATCGACCTGGCGAACCCGAAGAGGCTTTACCGACAAAAAACAAATAAACAAAACAACGCACGTTCAGCACGCCTTGTACTGACCCGAATTGAAAAGACAGCGCGGGCTCTTCTCCTCGGGCGCGTCCTCCACATTCGTAAGTCTTCTCCCCTGAACTCGCAGCAATGCATGGGCCTGCCTAGTATGGAATCTCTGCCTTACCAACGTAGTCGACCTGGGCTTGACACTTGAAGCGCCCGAGCCCCGTCGGCGCACATGTGGTCGACTGAAGGTTGGCCCTTGCCTTCTGTTCTTTCGCGCCCTTGCCGCATCGCGCGCATCGAAATGTAGCCGCCCTTGAGCTCCACGGAGCGATGATCCTGCATGGCCACCAGCAGTGGCGCCCCAAACTGCTGCTGCTCCGGTCGTAGATCAGGGCCCTTCCAAGCGCCTTCCGTGACCATGTATTCCATGGCATGGGGGAAATGCTGGTTGACCTTCTGGTGGCGCCCCAACTCCGCCTGGCAGGTGCCCGCTGCGCCTCTCGACGCCCGATGTTTGAGCGCCCCGCCCTTTGCGAAGTAATCTGCTCCATTTGCCAGGCCGCCATAGAGGATAGAAACCAATTTGTGGGCACTCGTCGACGTCCTCATGCGCTGGCGCCCAAGCAGCTGCAGGCGGTGCCTCCTTCACCGCACCGAATACCTTCCTCCAAGCATGGGCAGTTCTACCCGCCGAGGCCTTTTGCTGAGCCGCCCGTATGTTCGCCCCCCGCACTCGACCAGCCAAATCGGGAGCGACCAATCTTGCGCGCGGGTACATCCTCAGCCCTTGAAACACAGCGCATCTCTCAACTTGACCAACTGTCAGCCGCGCCTCTGGGCGCGGCCCATACGCTGCGCGCAGCGGCAAACCATGTTCAAATACTTGTACCGCTGACATCCATGGTGACCATTCTACTCAGCGATCCGAACGCCTTCGCGCATCGTGGCATCGGATACACTTGTAGCAGCACCCAGGGCAGCCTCACATTGAACTTCAGCTCCCTGGCCCCTAGGAAGAACACGTCGCACGCATCCAGCATGGCCGCGATACTCGATCCCTCTAGTTCAATCGCCAACTCTGCCTGTAGATTGCAATTAAATGCGCAACATGTTGAAGATGTGCCGTCGTCGAGCCCACGGATATCTGCCGACGGATTGCTCACCAGCCAACTCTTGGATGTATCAGAGCGCGCCCGTCCCCATGTGCGCGCCAGGACATTCGTCAACGCAATCAAACGACATCCTCCCCCAGGTTTTTGGTCGCCGAACCATGACGTTCCATATTATTGCCGACGGCCGCATGAGCAACTGTTCGCATTTCGTGAACCGTCTCGCCATAATGCGCAACCTCACGAAGGACAACTGCAGTCGGGTCTTCGGCGCTATGCGAGCTTGCCCATCTGCCCCATGATCCGGGAAGGTCGAGATCGCGTCAATCATCATACGCACTGTGATATGCGGTAGCTCTGGCCAACTCTGTGCGTCTCCAAGGACTTCCATGGACTGTTCTGGAGTCGGTTCCAAATATTTTCTCAGGGGACCATGGCTTCCTCCGCCAGACCCCTGGGGGTCGGCGCTTCTCTCATCAGGCCGCTGCGGGTCCAGAAACGCAGCAGTTCGATCCCAATGTCAGCGAGGTGTCTGAGTTGATCATGCGACAGCTCGCATGCTGCATTTGCCACTCTCAACCTCGGCAACATTTGGCGCGCCGTTGCCCTCGTCGCGATTAAGTGCCTAGCCCATCTCGACGCCGCCAACCAAGCTTGCAATGTTGGCCCCAATCTTCGCCTCTTTGCAGGAGGGGCCCACCCCGCCTCGATCGTCTTAGTTCTGGTTGGCCCCGATCTTCCAGCATGCGCAAGCCGCTCGGCACCCAATGCGTCGTCTCTGCCCATCAACTCTTGCTCCGTGGTAACCAGCGCCTGGCCCCAAACCAATGCATGCGCATCGGCGTCTGTAGCAACCTCAATGAGCTGTTCAGACCTTGCCCAGCACGCCACCCGACGCGCGCAACCAGGGAGGGGCTGAACAAGGAACCTACGCGGCTCGTCCATCACCACTAGTTCCGCTTGAACTTCTTTAGCACAGAGTGCGAGCGCTACTGGCCGATGCGCGCGAATGGGGCAAACCTCGCCCACCACGGGCGTGGCAATCGCGTCCCCAACGCTCTTGCAGGCCAATAAAATCTACAATGGACTCCTGCCTGTCAGGCGGCTCGCAAGTCGCTGCATCCGGCGCGAGGCAAAGTCCTTTTACCATTTCAAGCCAAGCAGGGTCCTCAGCGGCCAGCGCGGCCCTGGCGATATTGCTGCCGCCGCCGACTACCCAGCTAGATCCACCAGTGTTGAGCTTGGTGAGATACTCTTCTAGGATATTAAGCAATCTCATGTTTTCATTATTCATGCCAACCGCACTTACCAGATAAACTGCGACTTAAAGGGCGCCGACCCTCGGCCCCGAGACTATGTGAGCCGTCATAATACGCCCGGCTTCCGATATCCAACCCTCACGCGGGGGCGGCTGCGTGATTGCGACGCCGGTTCTGCGCCGGGTCGCCAGACCGCCGCTGCCTCCTTTCGGCGGGCACAGAAGTCCGTGGCAACCAGAATTATTCGCCTGCTCCTGGAGATCAGGAATGCGAGCCTCGTCCGCGCGGGGCTCTCGGAGCAAAGCGACCGGGGGAATAGGGTCCAACGACCGTGCCCCTAAAGACCCCTGCGTTCTCAAATGCGTTGTGAGATGAGCAATGATTATCCGACCTTCCACAGGCAGCGCCTTCACTTTGTCGCAGTCGCTGTGGTCCTGCCTGTGATTGCCACCGTTAGTTTCGCCCTCGTAGCACCCCCCCGAGATCTCGGGCCATTGAAATCTGGAGATCGATATTGGGGCAGCTCGCGAAACACGTGCTTCAGCTCCGCCAAAGCGCCCCAATGGCATTCCAGCGTCGCTCTGCGAGCGCTGCCCACAAAACTCACAATATATCTAAAGAAAGCCCTGCGCATCGTCTGCGCCTCGTGGTGCGCGCGATCGCATAGATATCTGATCGCCTCTCCAATCTCCCATTCCCTGCCAATGCGTCTACTAAACGGGTCAAGAAGCTCACGTCGGAGATGCCCGTTGCGAGATAATTCAAGTAGCTCCTGGCAGTGCGGCTCGCACCACATAGTCCAATATCGTGGCGGATTGCCTTCCAAGCCGCCCTCAGTGTCGTGATTCCATATCGCCGCCCAGTTCGTGAGGTCGTCGTGCAAATCGGGGCGCTCACTCCTCGTCTGAAATTTTGGCGGCATCCTATCCATCGCTCCTGGAGCTTGCTGCCCCAGATGAGACTCATCAACCATCTCCGAATATGGAGGCCCCATTGCTCCAGCCGCGGTGCCCGAAGCCGGCAACAACCCTGGTGCAGAACTACCACCAGTCGCTGCAATTGTCCTCGCCCCTGGGGGATGCACGCCCCAGGCACTGCAAGGAATGCAACACTCTGGGCCAATTTCGGGAAGGAACTATCAATCCATTCAGGCTTCAGTGATAACGCAGGCGCAGCCGAGATAATGGCATCAGAGCTATTCCACAACTTCCATTGCCCAATCCTGCGAATGGTGTCGTGCGTGTTCCATTGGTCCTCCTTAGCAATCGCCATGACGTTCGTAGGGGCCGACAGCAGAACGAGGACGGAAACCATTCGCACGAAACTTCTGACCCAACTCCCTCCACTTGATTTCATCAACACCTGGGATAACGGCAGGTGCGCAGACTTCCGTGATGTCCTTGCGGGGCCGCTCTCGATCCACGCCGTCCACGTCCCATGCTGGGTCCTGTTTCCCCTTCTCCAGCAGCCACAAAACTTGCTTCCACGACTGCCGCCTGCTTGAAGGTGAAGAACTCTTTGCCCCTATTCTTGACCGGCTGAACCAACTTACCACCAACTCTTTACCAACACCAGATTCCGGCAGAGGAATACCCAGAGCCCTCCCATCAACTGCCAGTTCAGGGATGACGGCCGTCTGCGTGCCGCCTTCAGCACCATCTCCTTGCACGGGTCGGCTCCTCTTCTGCAGTCCGAACACTTCGGCATGTAGCGAAATTGCGTGCTGGGCCGCCTCGTCCAGCGCGGACTTGTTTTTTCTCCACCTGCTGCCGCATCTGCTCGAGCTTCTACGATGTAGCTTCCAATGTGGACTCCTTCTGCTCCTGCACCTGCTTCGCCTGGATGATCCGGCGAAACAGCACCTGCATCTGCACCGGTGGCGGCTTACTTTCCTGCAGGGCCTTCTGGAGTCGTTCTTAGTCCCCACGAGCGGTTCGAATGCACGAGCGGATGTAATCTGAGGAAGATGTCTGTCCAAGCTTTTCCAAGCCAGCCAAATCTTGGGAGACGACGGCCAGGCGTGCCTTGGTACGTTCAGCTTCGTCAACAGCGTCCCCCGGCCCACCATCAGCGCCATCATCAACAACCATGGCCGCCTCATTTCGCGCAGCCCCAGCCTGTCGAGCCTCGAGCTGCGTTCCCCGGGCGGAGATGCGAGCCTGGACCCTCTTGAGCTCAGGATTCGACTTGGGGTCCCCAGGGTCCTCAGCCTGCGGTGGCTTCCTTTTACCCCGAAGGACGAGCGAGACCGAGGGAGCACGGTCGACCTCACGATTCCGAAGGAAAGGCGATCTTTTATGGGGGCGACATCCTTGACAATGAGCGTTCGAAGCGAAGTTCCACAAAAAAAGGGCTTCCCAAAATGGTTAGCACAAGACTTGCACACCCAATATTGTTGATACCTCTGTGCCATCTCCTTAACGATACACGAGACCCCAGCACAAAGCGTCGATCAGGGCCTGGAGTAATAGTTAGAAAAGAGAAGGACCAAACGAGGTTAGGTCACGGGTTGTGTGTTAGCAAATGGGGCCGCTTCTCCCCCTGCCAAAGCGCTCCTCGTCCTGAGCGAAACACTACGGACTTGAGCCGAAATGGCTGCGGATTTCCACCTCCTCCTCCTCCTCTTTCCCCTCCTCCTCCTCCTCCTCCTCCCCCTCTTCATCCTCCCCCTCCTCCTCGTTCTCCTCCTCGCCCCTTCCCTGGCGTAAGGAGAACGGACGAGGTAGAACCAGAGGGATACTTAGCGGGGCAATTATGGGGGCAAGTATTGGGATAATCATCGGAGTAATTTATAGGGACAATCATTGGGACAGCCATCGGGACAACCATCGCGACGCCCATCGGGACAGCCATCGGGACGCCTATCGGGTCAACCGTCGGGACAACCATCGGGACAACCAGCGGGACGACCATCGGGGCAATGTTCACACCACGGCCGGGCCCGGCGGGGTGCGACCCCTTGCTTGTCTGACGTGGCCCTCGCCGGTGGACGAACTTACAGGAGGAGCTCGACCACAAGAGACCCCTCCACGAGAAGCCCAACCCTGAGACCCCAGGACGCCCATCGAGTTCTGGCGTGGGAGCGTCACGCTTCCCATCGCAGAACCATCGAGACCAAAGAAAACCAGGGCACCCTGGAGGCAAGCAGAGTATTTCTTGGCATGTTTTTTTTCCACCGTGCCCAGCTCCGCCCCGCCTCGCCCGCACGCACGGCACGCACGAGACAAAACGTTTTCCCGGTTGAGGCGCCTCACGTTTCTCTTCGGTCCCACCCCCCGAACCTCCGACGCGTGCTCAGTGACAGGTGTTGCTCAAGTGTTGCAGCATTGCACTTAGTCTCAATCGATACTGCCTGAGTCGTCCCAACCGCTACAGTCGGCCTTGATTGACCAGGACACGCGAGAGGACACAAGACCCTTCCGAGGGCCACATCGCCATAGGAGTGTAAGAAGGGACGTGTCGCGAGGGAAAGGACACAAAGGCACCCTTGAGCTGGCAGGGCCGACCTGCTCATCCGGCCCGACTGTACTGTCCGAGCCTTCCGGATCGTGATGGCCGCCCCAAACGCTTGGCCTCAGCCGCTGCTTCCAGACGAGTGGCTCAGCCGGGGCTCGGCAGCCCGACGAGCCGCCACGGAATCCGCAGGGAAGCAAACGGCGACCCCAGGGAAACCCCGAGTACTCCGCGGGACCTCTGAGGACTCGGCGGGGAGCCCATGACGGCCACTTGTGAAGGGGCCCTGGGACACACACACACATAAATACACACGAATAACAGGATTCCCCTTATTTCCCCCTATGTTATGGGTTTCTGTTTTCCCCCCACTTCACATATTTTCCCATACTTTCCTGGGAGTCGACGATTAAGTGTGTATGTGTGTGTTTGTGTTTTTTTCCATCTGAAGTTGCCCTCTTCACAACCAGAGGAGCTAGAACCCTTCAAGCGAAGCCGAAGTGGGACAGCCGACGTCGGGAGTATAGGACCCCTACCCTCTTCAGCACCCCATGCAGCCTGAATCCCCCCTCTCCGGCGCGGAAACGATGTCCAAGACGAAGACTAGAAGCAAGGGGGAATGATGGCAGTGCCAAAACCGCACGGACAAATGGAGCAGAGGAAATATGACATAGCACAAGGGACATCTGTCGAAGTACAGGTGATCCACTTCAGATGTGTACAATACTGGCGACAACATGAGGACTTTCACCAGACGGGGGAGAAGCTCCTTGTAGCTTATCCCGACCACCGTCTTTGCCGCACGTAGGACGCGCGCTGCAGCCAACATTGCCCCCTGCGGCGATTCATCACGAACCCTCTGCCCGCACCGAGAATGCAATTCCCGCCTGCTCGTTCACATCTGCGGTGTCTCCCCAAGCCCTCCTTGCTGGGATCCGTCAAACCTAAGAGACCGATCGATGAGCAACGCCGGAATGTCCATTGCAATGCTGTCCTGACCCGCCACCCACACTGCCGATTAACACTCCCGTGACTATCAGAGCTCGGTCTAGCAGAGGAGGAGCAGGAGGAACGCAGAGCAAACCACGTGGCCGTCTGAATAAACGATGAGAATGAAAAATAAGAACGGCGTAAACATAAACTGTTGGCGCTCCGCGCGGATTTCTTGGATCTGCGCTGGACCAGCGCCAGGGGCGGCGCCGGCGCCGCCTGGGGGGGAAAGCCCAGCGCGTATCCAAGAAACCCGCGCGGAGCGCCAACAATTTATGTTTATGACGTTTTTCTTCTTCGAGAGGACGCAGAGCAAACCACGTGGCCGTCTCAATAAACTATGAGAACGCCGTCCTCGTGAATGGGGGAACCGCTTTCGCTGAAACGGGGGCAGCGGAAGTGCGGCAGCAGGCCGCGTGCGCCGTTCGGTCTGGGGGGGCTGGGCGTCCGCGGTGCCCATCTTCGATCTCAAGCAGCCACGACCGCTTGGCTGGGGAACGGGGAGGAGGAGGAGGAGGAGGAGGAGGAGGAGGAGGAGGAGGAGGAGGAGGAGGAGGAGAGGAGGAGGAGAGGAGGAGGGAGGAGGAGGGTGGGAGGAGGAGGGGAGGGTGGGAGGAGGAGGAGGAGGAGGAGGAGGAGGAGGAGGAGGAGGAGGAGGAGGAGGAGGAGGAGGAGGAGGAGGAGGAGGAGGAGGAGGAAGAGGAGCAAGCAAGGACTCTCGGATGCTGTCCACTGTCTGACGGCGGCGGAACTACAAAAGTAGCATCTGAGTGGCGGTGAATCCGCGACTTCCCTCACCAGCGGGCGCTGCTGATGGGGGCACCACCTGAGGCCCTCGACCCGCCCGAAAGCTGGGGGATACCAGCGAGGGGGGTGATGGGCACCACTCCATACAGACCCGAATTCCCTACGGCGGCCGAGGAGGCCTCGAACGACGGGAGCGTCGAGGCATCGGCACGAAAGAATCCGTAAGCTCACGAATTGGCCGCAGACCAGGAGGAGGACGACGAGGAGGCTCAGGCCGAGGAAGGGGGTTCGATCGGAAAAAACCGCGAGCGACCAACTCGGCGAGACGCTGACTACACGCTAAGTTCCGGGGGAGGGGAGCTCTCGGCAAGGCACCGCTGACGGACACAGGTCCCCTCCCCTCACCCCCATTCGTAAAAGAGCTACTGGCCTCAGAATTCGGGAACACTACTGGGGCGGAGCCTCGTACAGGAACCTCTGGGGGCGGGTCGGCGTGAACGAGTATATCCGCAGAACGCACAGCACGAACTTCAGGTACATGCGACACTCCAGAAGACGACGAGCCAGTCAAAATCTCCTCGAGCAATACTCCAGAAGATTGCGAGCCAGTCACACTCTCAGAAGTCAATACTCCAGAAGACTGACCAATCAAATTCTGTGAAGGTAATGCTCCAGAACCTGAGCCAGACAAAATCTCTGCAGACACCGATACTCCAGAAGACGACGCTGAGCCAATCAAATTCTCCTGTGAAGCCAATACTCCAGAAGACTGAGAGCCAATCAAATTCTCATGCAGTACTCCAATAGTCATGTTCAGGCATCCTACTGCTCCTTCTTCTCCTTCTCCTTCCTGCCCGCGCCAAGCTTCTCCAGGAGGCGGGATGCCTCGCGCTCGAGCGCGCCGCGGGGCGCTGGGCCCAGCTTGCGCTCGCCTGCCACCGCCGCCCACGAGAAATAGGCGACCAGGGTCCTCTCCAGAGGCTTGTACTCCCCGTCCACGGCGAAAGTCAAGCGCATCCGCTCGTCCTTCGATTCGACCTTGCGGGTTTTGCGGACGCGGCAGTGGCGAACGTGTTCTCCGACTTTCTCGAGCGGCATGGGCACCGGCACGTCCTTCCAGTAGGTCTCGATGCTCTTGCGCACCTCGTCGCTGCAACTGGGGCCCGTCCCGGTCGCTTGGATGAGGGCGCTCCAGATCTGCGCATGCGGGGGGCCGAGCGTGGAGAGGTCTTCGCTGGCCTGCTTGCGACGCTGCACCTCGGCGTGGTAACTCTGGCCTGCGTCGCGCGCGGCCTTCGTCGAGGGCTGGTCGGACTTGATGAGAAAGGTGATGTATACGACTCCGCGCACGTCGCGAAGCTCGGCGCTGTTGGCCAAGCTCAGCTTGACGAGGATCGCCACCAGCTGGCGCAGCATGTCGCCGCCCTTAGCACGAGCCGCCGCGACGACCTTGGATTTTTTGTCGGCGCGATCGCCCGCAGACTTCGTGACCTTGGCCATCCAGGCCGGGGCGCCGTCCATCTGTATCAGGTGGCGCAGAGAGTGGGCAGGGATGTAGATGAGAGATCAAGTGCTTCTGCAGTGCCTGGAACGAGCCCGCGGCCACGTCGCACAAGGGGCACTGCAACGTCGAGGGGGCGGCAAGCGGAGCCAGGTTGCGAGAAGCATTTGGTTTGCAGAACCCCCGAGCACACGATAGCACACGACGCCGTCGACACGTAACCTGAGAACTGAATATAGTGCTACACACGGGACACTGATTACTGAGAGCAATACAACGAGCAACCATCCGATGACCATGTCGTGCAACAATACGAGTATGAACCGCACGCCGATCGGGAAGGACAGCATTACACACCATCCCATCCTGACAAGTAAGCTGACACATATAAACACCATCACGCCCGAACACAGGGACAGGAGGGAAACATTGCATTCCAGGTTTAGTACATGATTAGGTGGGGCAACCGAAACCGAATAGCATCTACTCCTCACTTGTCTCATATCGATGCGTAGGAAATCTCCCCGTGCCTCCTCATCCCGAAAGAGTAACAAAAAGCGCCCATCGAGATAGTCCAGCAGAGCCCCTCCCTCGTCCAGAACGTTTAGGGTCTTAAGATCTCCCCAGAGCCTCCGAACCCACGGGTGAGCCGTAGCCTCCAGACGACCAGAAGGGGTGAACACAGCATAGAAGGGCCCCTTGCCATCGCCACCGTAAGTGCCAAGAAGAGCCCCCAAGACTTGCCTATGCTCCTCAGGATGTCCTACTAATTCCTGGAGTAGACGCAAACGACGAATACGGGCCTCAAGATCAATCGGCACCAGACGCCACCATTTTAGAACCTCAAGATTAGAGAGCGAACGTGGATGTCCCTGAGCATCACGGTCACAGGCAGCACCTCGCATGGCTCTGCGCGCGTACGCTGCCACCGTACTCGTGAGCTTCGCGAAATCAGCAGAGGACGGCAGAAAGGCCTCCAGACCTGACAGTGCGGTATTATGCACTTTGCATAACAACATACATCTTCGGAAACGATGCGGCACTCCAGCAATCTGCCAGAAAGACCCGAGCGAATGCCACCCAGCTCGGACCGCCGCCAGCCGCGCCTTAAGCTCCTGGCCGAAGTTGAGAGATGAGGTCCCCATCATAGCCCCAAGACTGTTGACCAGCTGCGACGGTTTCCCAGGAAAGCGAACACCCCCAGAACGGATCACCTGATAAGCGGATCCAACTCCGCGCCCAAACAAACTTGAAAGAGTATCTTGCTTTGTCAGATTCTGGTTATACCCTGCAGGTCCCAGGCACGCATCTAAGTCTTGGTTAGAGTAGGAGCTGGCGATGGCAAGCGAAGCGGCAGACGTGCTACGGCCTCCAATCAGCTTCTTAGTGAGATCGTCGGCGTACTTAGTCAGAGAAAGATCCACCTCCCCTCCCAGCGGCGACCGAGCGACGAGCTGATCCACGTAGGGGCCCCATCCTCTCTGCCTATCCTGCCACTCCTCGACGACGGGGGCGAACGTGTGAACGAAGCTCCGCACAGCGAACCCGTCCCCCATCAAACCTCCACACCCAGGCCTAAGCGTGATATCGCAATCACAACCTGCAAGGGTATATGTAGCTCGTTGATAGCGCTGATGTCCAAACGACTCAGAGCCTGGGCGAAACATCTGATGCGTAATCGTGCCCATGCAAGACCAGCTGCTGGACGCAAACGCATTGGCTAGGTCATGACAGTTGGTAATGTGAGACATTCCAGAACGCTGCAAGCGAAAGCCTGCGATGTGTTGGACCAACAGGGCTTCTTCGCGCCGATGACGAGGCACGAAGCCGTGATCTGCATAGCAATACTGACCAGGCCCCCGCTGCCCCATGAGTACTGACATCCAGAGCTTACCCAGAGGATCTAAGAGATGAATCCATCGAGTGCGATGATCTTTACGTGGAAGGGGGACCCCGCGACTGCGATGCCAGCGAACAGGAGTGGCCCTGCAACTGCGGATCCTCTGAAGCCCAGCTTTCAAGACACCCCAGAAACCTCCAGGATCAGGAGGGCGAACCTGACTACCGAGACCCCGTCCTCGAGAGCTGAGCCTACGTTGGGGGCGCAGTAGAAGCCACCAGAGTTCCAGAGGGGGAGCCCACTCAGGTGCCGCTCGTCGTTTTCCCGCACGAAGAAGCCCCTTGCGAATTCCAGCCAGATCTGCATACGCACTCTTCTTATCTTCGCTGGTGATCTCCAGAGCTCCAGGAGCAGCGAACTTACAAGCATCACGAAACTCGTCCCAACTTGAAACCAGGGAAGCCTGCATGCCCCCATCCGCCCCGGCCTGGGAAAACTGCTCGACCAAAACCTCGGCGGTCTCGACAACCCCTCGGACGCCCAGGTAGTCACGCTTTTTTGGTCCAAAACGACTTCCCGATGCTTGTCGTGCCAAACGTGTCACCTCGGCCAAACGCCGATGCCTCCACATCTCATTCATCTCCTCAATCACCTCCTCCTGGTACTCCTTCCGCTGCCGTCGAAGATATCTGGAGTTAGCCTTAGAGACCTCCCGAAGACGCTCCAGGACCTCCTCCGCTTCCTCCTCCTCAGAAACAGCAGCAAACTCGTGACGAATGCGACGCCTAGCCTCGAGCATCTTTAACCTCTCAGCTGCGAGCTGACGAACGGGGCGGACACGATCACGAGCAAAGAAGGGGCGGCCAATCTCAATCATGGTATCGTTGAGGTAATCGAAAAGAGCATCAGCCGTGTCTTGGCACTTGAGGGTGTCGATGTGTGCAGAGTCCTGTGCTATTCGCGCCTCCATACTCTCCAAAAATTCACGACGTTGTGAGCCCCACCTCAAGGACATCATCAGGGCGTCATAGTCCCAGCTGACCTTCGAGGGCATCTTATTTAAAACTGTGTCAGCGGCCAACACATAAGGGAATGCCGCGTGCACAAGAAGATGGTCCAGAATACGTCTGCAACGACCCAGCTGTAAACCGCGACTGAGACGATGCAAAGGGCCCGCACTCTTCAGAACAGAGACAAGAGGCCGTGGTAGTGCGATCATATCGATGAAACTCGTGTTTCCCTGCGGGCCAAAGAAGGTTGGTGCAAAGCCCTTGTACGCATTCGCAATCTGTAAGTCATGCACAGCAAGTAGTTCAGAAAAGCGAGGCCCGATCCCGAACCCCTGGGTGGCGTGCTCCTCTGGCATAGTGTAGAGCCCGTCGTAGACCCACGAGGAACCAACTCTATGCGTACCCACTCCGTCATTGACATCAGCACAGACCACGGGCGTGGACCGACTCGGAATAATGGACAGCTCGTGTGCAGCCCACTCGAGAAGCCTAGAACAAGTCGCTTCATAGGCAGCCCAGGCCACAGCTGTGCGAGGTCGCGGAGGAAAGTAGAGCGCAAGAACAGTCAAATCTAGAATACCACTCCGAGCTCGGCAGACAAGACCGCGCCCCTGTAGAGGAGCAGGTGCTGCAACACAGCGCACGATATGTTCTGATCGAACTCGACGACCGAAGACAATAGCACACCCACACGCACGAGTAACATGCTCAGAGACAGCCCACCCAGCTTCCACCAAGACTTGGCCACAGAGAAGCCGCCGCCTGACGGAGCAGCCTGTCGTGGCCTTCTGCTGGGTGCCGATGAGGGCCAGAACATCGAAGTTGGGGACAGAGCTCACGATGTCCTCCTGGCGGTCGCGGCAATTCGCGGCCATCGGATTATAGGTACCTACGGTAAGCGTATACTGCATTGAGCGGCCAGCCGCCCGCCACATCGCAGGAGCGAGGTGCGAAGGGGGGGGCAAGATGGTGTAGGGAGAGCCTCCGCGCGGCCATATCTCTGCAAAGATCTGACCCGCATGGCTGGAGAGGGAGGAGGAGGAGGAGGAGGAGGAGGAGGAGGAGGAGGAGGAGGAGGAGGAAGAGGAGGAGGAGGAGACGGTGGAAGGAAGGCACGGAGGAGAAGGAGAAGGAGGAGCAGGGGGAGGGAAATGTTGTTGCTGCTTGTCCTCCACTGGCGGCGTCCCCTGCACCTCTCTGCCGCCCCATCGACGTCCTTGCCCGGCCCGACGTCCCCCGGCCCTCGCACGTCCCCGGGTCCTCCTCCTCCTCCTTCTCCTCCTCCTTCTCCTTCTCCTCCTCCTCCTCCCCCTCCTCCTCCTCCCACCCTCCTCCTCCTCGGCCAATTTGGCTTTCCGAGCACGGACCCCGGAGCGCGCCAGGGGCGGCGCCAGCGGCGCCGCCAGGCGCTCGCGCCTGCCACCGGCCTCCTCCCGCCCCTACTGTATATGGCCTGCGCCGCCGCCGCCGCCGCCGCCGCCGCCGCCGCTGCCATGTCTGCTGCACGACTCGCTTGTCCTTTGCTTGCTGCGCGACTCGTGTGTCCCCGTCCGGCCAGCTCGCACTGGCCAGCGTAGCGCGGCTCCCTGTGGGTCCCCGCGCAGTGTGCCGCACTCCGTCGGACCGACTCCGCCGCGGTGAAGGGGGGGGGTAGAGATTGGAGGAATACGACACTGCATAAGCGTCAACTCTGGAAGGCCCGGGCGGATTTCTCGGATCTGCGCTGGTCCCCCCCCCTGGCGCCTCGCGCGAAGGAGGGGGCTCCCGCGCAGATCGCAGCTCAACGATCAATGCTTTTCTCCTGCTGTATTCGCTAGAAGTACGTGACACGGGACAAAAAAGGCCCGCCCAGGACTCTGCCGACCCTGGGTGTGAACTCGCTGGCTAAGCTTGCTCGAACCTGGAACTACGGAAGGCCCCTTGTCGTAACGGCGCCGGCGCCCCTTGTCGTAACCGCGGGGGCTGGCGTTACGGCGTTTTTGCTAATTAAGGCATGTCGTCGCTGCGTCCGGCATTTTGCTGCCAGAAAGGGTTTTAGGGGTTATAGGGGTTATAGGGGTTATAGGGGTTATAGGGGTTATAGGGGTTATAGGGGTTATAGGGGTTATAGGGGTTATATAGGGGTTATAGGGGGGGGGGGTTATAGGGGTTATAGGGGTTATAGGGGTTATAGGGGTTATAGGGGTTATAGGGGTTATAGGGGGGGTTATAGGGGTTATAAGGGGTTATAGGGGTTATAGGGGTAGGGGTTATAGGGGTTATAGGGGTTATAGGGGTTATAGGGGTTATAGGGGTTTATAGGGGTTATAGGGGTTATAGGGGTTATAGGGGTTATAGGGTTATAGGGGTTATAGGGGTTATCGGGGTTATAGGGGTTATTAGGGGTTATAGGGGTTATAGGGGTTATAGGGGTTATAGGGGTTATAGGGGTTATAGGGGTTATAGGGGTTATAGGGGTGGGGTTATAGGGGTTATAGGGGTTATAGGGGTTATAGGGGTTAGGGGGGGGTATAGGGGTATAGGGTTATAGGGGTTATAGGGGTTTATAGGGTTTATAGGGGTTATAGGGTTATAGGGTTATAGGGGTTATTATAGGGGTTATAGGGTTATAGGGGTTATAGGGGTTATAGGGGTTATAGGGGTTATAGGGGTTACAGGGGTTATAGGGGTTATAGGGGTTATAGGGGTTATAGGGGTTATAGGGGTTATATGGGTCATATGGGTTATAGGTTGGTTATAGGGTTATAAGGGGGGTTATAGGGTTAGGGTTATAGGGGTTATAGGGCTTATAGGGTTATAGGGTTATAAGGGTTATAGGGGTTATAAGGGGTTATAAGGGTTATAGGGGTTATAGGGGTTATAGGGGTTATAAGGGTTATGGGGGTTATAGGGGTTATAGGGGTTATAGGGGTTATAAGGGTTATAGGGGTAATAGGGGTTATAATGGTTAGGGGTTATATGGGGTTATAGGGGTTATAGGGGGGGGGTTATAGGGTTATAGGGGTTATAGGGTTATAGGGGTTATAGGGGTTATAGGGGTTATAGGGGTTATAGGGGTTATATGGTTATAGGGGTTATAGGGTTATATAGGGGTTTATAGGGGTTATGGGGTTATAGGGTTATAGGGGTTATAGGGGTTATAGGGGTTATAGGGGTTATAGGGTTATAGGGTTATAGGGGTTATAGGGGTTATAGGGGTTATAGGGGTTATAGGGGTTATAGGGGTTATAGGGGTTATAAGGGGTTATAAGGGGTTATAAGGGGTTATAGGGGTTATAGGGGTTATAGGGGTTATAGGGGTTATAGGGGTTATAAGGGTTATAGGGGTTATAGGGGTTATAGGGTTATAGGGGTTATAGGGGTTATAGGCGTAATAGGGGTTATAGGGGTTATAGGGGTTATAGGGGTTATAGAGGTTATAGGGGTTATAGGGGTTATAGGGGTTATAGGGGTTATAGGGGTACATCGACTGCAGTGGAAGCGCAGCCATGCACGCGTGAGCTCTGTGAGCGTACACACAAGGTGCGCAAGTAGGAGTTACAAACCACTTGTTTTTTGTACCCAGGCGACTTTCAATGCTGGTGCTGCCCGTCGTTTCGACGGCAACTTGCAAAGACCGTCCAAATAGTGTTGCCCCCCACAGCCCGCAATCGCTGGACGATGCTGCCTTACTTGATCCGACAGGCCGAAAATGCTCTCAACTCACCCTGCTTGCATCCGGGCCCAGCCAATCGCGCAACACCCAGTCCGAGAAGAGCGCGTTGGCCCACCCGAAGCCGTCGCGGTTGTAGGCGCAGGCGTCCGTAGGGGAGAAGCCCTCGTGCAGCTTATTTGTTCTGCATGACGTGGACAGAATCTCCTCCATGCATGTGCGCCGCTCTTCCTCACTGGTGGCGGTCATGCCCTGCATGATCACCCCCAGATGCCAGATACAGTGGTCGTGACACTCTCGCCCACGGGCCCCGAGCCGCAGGCCGTGGCTTGCGTGCCTGGAGCCCAAGCCCGACAAACCGTTTTGCCTTTCGCCGTCAAGAGTGAAGCTCTTACCGGAGAAGAAGTTACGGTTCTCGCCGCTCAGGACGAATCTGCGGGTCGCCTCGTAGAGGCCCGCGGGGTCCTCGTAGCCCAAGTACGGCAACCAAAGCAAATTGGGCATGTTGGCGTCGTCCATCGTCGTACTGTTGCCCCAACCGTCTACCTGGAACGCATAGATATTGTCGCCGCCGCTGGCCGGGACGACTCCGTACCTGCGAACAGCCCGGTCCACGCTGCCAGCCATTTTCTCCAGCTCTGCCGCGAGGACGACATCCCGCATCGGTCCCTTCGCCATCTCAGCGGCCCTGCGCAGAGCCACCACCAGCATGATGTTCTGCGGGATGTTGTAGCCAGCCAACACCTGGTCGTCGCTGGGCAGCGCAAACGACCACACCAGCCCTATGCCCTCATTGAATCGTCCCTGCAGCGGCTTATAGGAATACTTGGACTTGGAGAAATGCCACTGCTCGGTCCGCAGCAGGCTGAGGATGACGCGCAGGGCATCTGCGAATTCCGCGTCGAGATGGGCGTCGGATCCAGTCTCCGCCCAGTACCTGTGATGAAGCATCAGTGGGAAGAGGAGAGAATCGAGCTCGTAGTCTTTCTGGTAGGTGTAGTCGCCGCACTCGGGTGCGCAGGTCTTGCAGAAACATTCCTCGCAGCGCGCGCTTGGCGGGCACGACCGCTTGTTGGGACCCGCATCAAAGCCGCTGCCATGGGTGGAATAGAACGCAGATGCGTAGGGATCGCTCAGAATGAACCGAACTTGTCTTAGCATGGCACCCTCCAGCACCCTCCGCAAGGGGCTCTCTGCGGAACTCTTGGCCGCCAGAGGGATATACGGCTCCAGCTGCACGGAACTGTCCCGCAGCCACATCTGCTTGATGTCCCCAGTGCTCACGAAAACGGTGCCGTCGCTCTGGAAGAGCGACAGCGCGGAATGCGCTGTGTAAGTGAATGCCTGGAACCACATGCTCGCGAGGGCGTGCCCGTCCAATCCGCGAAGGTTGCCGACGTGCTTCAGCGCGCCGTGCACGCGCTTCGCCTCGGCCTCCACCGCGCGCGCCGCGTCCTGCAGCAGCTCCTCCGTCACGGCGCCGCGGCGGCCCCGCCTCCGCGACCGCGGCCTCGGCCCGTCTGCGCCGGCCTCCCCGCCGTCCACGAGGCGCGCAGCCCCCGCGCGCGCCCTCTGGAGGAGGCTGACGGGACTGACGTCCTCCGCGATGTCCTCCGCGCTGCAGCTGCCCTCGGGGGCACCCGCCGCCCCGGCCACCACCGCGGCCGCCGCGGCGGCCGCCCGCGCCAGCAAGCCGCACCGCGCGGTCCTCGTCCGCGCGCTCGGGGGCGGCATGCGCGGAGCGGTGGCCCGCGCGCACGGAGCGCCCACCGCCGCAGCGCTCGAGCCAGTGCCCCTTCACGGCCATCGTCAGGACCCTCGCGCGGCTTCGGAAACCCCGGATCTGGCCACATCGACTCGTGGACCGATTTTTCCACAACCGCTACCCTGGGTAGGAGAGGGAGGAGCACAGCGTATCCGGAGGCAGCAGAGGGAGATGGAGGAGGAGGAGAAGGAGGAGGACGAGGGAGGAGGAGGCGGAGGAGGAGGAGGAGCGCTGGCCCTTCTAAGACGCAGGGGTGCTGCCAAGAAGCCGTACCCCCTCCCACCCACCCCCCTCTGCGCGCCGCGGGCCAAGACCAGAGCCACGCGGCCGCTCCTCGGGCCGGGTCCGCCGAAGACGTGGCCGCGGGGCCCGAAGCTTGTGAGGCCGGGCATGTCCTCCCACACGCGGATTCTGGAAGCAAAAAGGAAATAGTCCAATATCAAACCTAAACAGTCGAGGCGTTGACCTAAGGAACCCCAGACAAGGAACGAGGCCCCTGTCTCTTGAGCCCCGAAGAAGGGGGAGCAAGGGGGTTTTCCGTGAAGACACGGTGGGCTCGACCCCCCCTTGGCGAGTCCAAACCGAACGGCGCCCCACTGCCGTTCGTCCTTCGATGGCAACTCATGGGAGCAGCCCATACCCTCTTGTCGGGGCCGGCTCTTCCGAACCGACGCTAACCGATGCGAATCGACGCTACATATCGACGCCAGCCGGCGCTAGCGGACGCCAAATCGGCGCTCTGGCTGACCCCCGTTTGCGCGGACCCCCCGCCTCGAGACTCCCAGCGCGCGGGCGCACCTGCCGCTCCGGGGCGCTCCGCGGGCGGCCATCTCTCCGCCAGCCCGCGGGGCGTGCGGCCCCGCTCCGCCAGCCCGCGGGGCGCCGCCGCCCCCCCGGCCCCGCGAGGAGGCGGCGGTTCCCGGGGACGCCTCCAAGTGGAGGGAGGCAGCCTCCAGCGGAGGAGTGCGGGCTCGAAGCGGAGGAGTGAGGCAGCCCCACATGGAGGAAGGCAACCTCAAGCGGAGGAGTGCAGCCTCAAGATGGAGGAAGGCCGCCTCAGAGTGGAGGAATGCAGCCTCAAACGGAGGAGTGCAGCCTCAGAATATCTAGCGCCTCGAAGGAGGCGAGGTCCTGCCTGGAGAGCGCCTCCCAGTGGAGGAGGAAGGCGGCCGGCGGCGAGCGCCAGGGGGGGGGCAGGGCGCCCAGCAAGCTCGGAGAGGACCTGCCGGCCCCCTGAGGCGCTCTCCGTGATACGCCAGTGTTCCACCATCACTATACTCTAGGTAGGACGGGGGAGAAGGGAAGATGGGAAGGTCCTCCTCCTCCTCCTCCTCCTCCTCCTCCTTCGCCTCCTCCTCCTCCTCCTCCTCCTCCTCCTCCTCCGTGGTAACGGCGTCGGGCGTGCTGCCCACGTGCGAGCAGGAGCTGATGTCGGCGCAGTACCCCAAGCCTTTGGGTGGTGTGCGCCGCCCCATCGGCCAGTCTACCGCGTCTGGGGCAAGTGCCAGAGGCCGAGGTTGAGGGCATGGCAGCGCGACCTGGACGATGGGGGCATCCTCAACACAGGGGAGGGCAGGAAGGTCACGGACTGCGTGTGGCGCGCTGCTGCGCATGGCGAGGCAGCGGTCGGTACGGGCCAGGCCTTCCTCATGCTGCTGTGGGACCTGGCCAAGGCCTTCAAGAAGGTCTCGCACCCCAAGCTGGTCCAAACGGCGCGTGCTGTTGGCTTCCCCACAGCGATCCTGCGGGTGGTGGTCGGCGCTTTCAGGTGGACCAGGTACGTGGCCATGGACGGGATGGTCTCCGCGGGCATCCTGCCCGACAGCGGCATTGTGCCAGGGTGCTTTGCTGCGACGTATGCCTTGGCAGCCTACCTCATCGCGGACCTGAAGGCCCAGCAGGGGCGCCACCCCGAGGTGCTGCTCTCCGTCCTCGTGGACGACATCGTGCAGGAGGTCGTGGCGCGCACCGAGGGCGAGGCCATGGCGCTCCTCGTCGACGCCGCCAGGGACCTCAAGGCCGCGCTCCGCGCTGCAGCAGGACCTGCACATGGAGCTGTCCAGAGGCAAGGGCACGGTTCTCGGCTCCACGGACCGTGTCTCCAGCTGCGCGCAGGACGCCCTCCGCAGCCTTGGCCTGCCGCCGAAGGCTCCGTGCCGCAGGCGCGGGACGGGCTCCACGAGGTATCTCGGCGTGGACTTTCGCGTGGGCCGCCGCGCGCAACTGCGCGGGGTGCCCGGAGCTCGTCGCAGAGGCGCCGCCAGCCACAGACGCGAGCTTCCTGGCGTCGTCCACAGTGCAAGCCCTGTGAGGAGGGCGAGGCTACGCCTGGGCCGAGCGCGGATGCGCAAGTCGCTGCAGGCTGCCGCCGTTGTGGCGGGCTGCAAGCGGGTCTGGCACACTGCGGTGTTTCCGTCTGCACGCTGGGGTGGCGAGGTTACGGGTTTCCCGGTCCTCGAGATCAGCGACCTCCGCTCCCGCGCGAAGCGCGTGCACGGGCACCCGTACGTCAGCAGCGACATCATGGGCGCGCTGATTCCCGCCTTGGATCCGCTGGGCGACCTCGCATCGGCTAGCATTGTCAGGTGCGCGGAGGAGTGGTGGCGCACCACAGACCACAGGCAGGCGAATGGCCGCGTCATCCCAGCCCCCTGTCCGAAGGCTGCCTTCGACGTGGCCCTCTGTGACTACCACGAGGGTCGCGCTGAGGCAGGGCCCATTGGGGCCATGTTGCGCGCGCTGAAGTGGGCGGGCTGGACCGCCATGCGTGCAACCTCCTCCCTCTCGCCCACACATGGCGAGATGTATGTCCTCGCTCGAGGGCCCAAGGAGGTTGGCCTGATCTTTCAGGCCGACGTGCTGCGCGAAGTTGAACGGCACGCGGCTGCAGCTGCAGCTTCGCTGCTCGGCCTGACGGACACGCCGATCTGGTGGAAGGCGTTGAGGACGGTCGTAGGCGCCAAGCGCATCGACCCCCTCCTTCGCCACATCCTCGTCTCGGTGTTCGGCGGCACGTTCATGACCAGGACGCTGGCCGACCAGCAGGGCTGCGCGGTCAGCCCACTGTGCCCGGCCTGCGGCGTCGAGGACACCCCGCTGCACCGTGTCATGGACAGCGGAGCGCTGGAGAGCGGCAGAGGTGAGCAGGGTGACGCCTGGCCCGAGGCCGCCGCCGCCCTCCGCGCCCGTGCCGACCGCACTCTCGAGCACCACCCGCTGCCGCAGAGTCCCTCCCTCCACCTCGCGCCTCCTTCGTCTGTCACTCGTGCTCTCGTAGGTGATGGAGGAGGAGGAGGAGGGGGAGGAGGAGGAGGAGGAGGAGGAGGAGGAGGAGGAGGAGGAGGAGGAGGGGGAGGAGGAGGAGGAGGAGGAGGAGGAAGTTCTGTTTTGTCTCAGGGGAGCCTGTGGCTGGCGACGGCTCGGCCTCAAGCTGCGCTGCTCGAGCCGCTTCGTCGGCGGGGGGGGTGTTCGGGGCTGTGCAGGGGAGCCCGGCCACGGGCAAGCTCCACCGGCTTCTTATGGGGTTCCCCCGCCCACCTCGGCCCAGACAGGCCGCGGAGGCGGAGCACCAGGCTTCTGCGGGAGGGGCCGGACTTTTCGTGATGGCTCCTGTGACTTACGTTGGGGATAGCTCGGCGGTCCTCTCAATTGCCCGTGCCGGGGCTGTGGCAGGAGCGACCCCCAGAAGTGGTTTCGCTGGCCTCTGGAGGGGGCTGCCACGGCAAGACGCCGCCTTTCATGGGAAACACAAGCAGAAGGCCCATGTGGAGGTCCCTGAGAGTCCCGCGTCTCCCGCAGAATGGAGGGCCTGGTTAAATGACCGGGCCGACCAGGCTGCCAAGTCGGCCTGCAAGCTGCACGATATCCACGGCCCCACTCTGGCCCCATCTCGAAGACCAACTTGCGCGGGTCTCGAAATTCGCCGTAACCGCTGCCCGTGTCCTTGTCTCGGGGCCAGCGTCCCGAGTTGAATGGAAGGACCTCCGACGGGCACAGTGCCCCAAGGTCCCCGCCTGCAAAATCGTCAACGATTCTATCCAGGTCGGACCCTCCCGCTGGCAGTGCAAGCGATGCTTGAGGTCTAAGGTGACCCCCCACAATCCCCTGGACCAGCAGGAATGTAGGCAGAGCGATGTGCCGCCCAGCTTTCAGTGTGTGCCCGAATTCGCCCACACACCTGATATTGAGTGGTGTGAGCTCACCTCGCGGCCTGAGGCCGAGGTGGGTGACACCTTGTTGTCTACAAGAAGTGCTGCCAGTACGCTTCCACGAAACCACTGGGCCTCGGCAAGGTCTGTCCCAGTTTTGGGATCCCCGGGTGGAAGCGTAATGAGGCAGCACAGCACAAATTGCGCCGATTTCTGCAGAGCAAGCACCCCAAGCACGGGAATGAGGATATGATTATTGCTCATTGGCCCCTCTAGGGACAGCTGCACGGAGCTGGCAAGGCTCCAGTTTCTCCAAGCTAGATTTTGGGCCCGTTTCAAGCTGGCCCCAGTGGCCAGACCTGTGCTGGGTGGAGGAACCTCGTCCTCCTCCTCCTCCTCCTCCTCCTCCTCCTCCTCCTCCTCCTCCTCCTCCCTGCACTGCCTTTAGTAGCGGTGGTGGTGTAGAATCGGCCCATCACTCCGTGCCCGCTCCGAATTTGTTCGTCGGCGGCGAGGCGAGGGCGATCCGCACCATCGTCGGGCTCATCGGGAGCACCGATCGGCAGATTGTCTGGCGTGCCCGAGCCTGCTCCGAGCCCGCACAGAGGAGGGGGGCTTCGATCGGAAGGCCGGAGGGCTTCGGGGAAGCCCCGTCGCCATCTGAGAGGGCCCATCTCCTCCTCCTCCCTCCCTCCCTCCCACCTTCCTTCCCTCCGTCCCTCCCTACCTCCCTCCCTCTCCTCCTTCTCCACCTCCTCCTCCTCCTCATCCTCCTCCTCCTCCCCATCCCTAATGGCTTCGGAGAAGCCCCGTCGCCAGCCGACAGGGCCTGC